CTCACCAACTCAGAATCTCTAAAAACGATATCGATAATAAAGAGAGCATCAACTTTCTTGAAGCTGGTAAAGAAATGTTGAATCAATTGCTGGAAAAATATTCATACCCAGACACCACTAAATTGGAAAAGCAGTTGATCCTCTCTGCAGTTCACAAGAGTTGAAGTATTAAGATGACCAGTAAATTTTTCAATGCTAGTCAATGCATGGTGGAGAAAATGAAGGCCACAGTTAATCGAGAGGGAATCCTGAAAACTCCTGGAGTATGTCCAGGGAAGAAAATTGACGACAACACAGTTGCCAGTATCAAGGGTTTCTACATGCACGACTCAAATAGTAAGCTGTTGGGTGGTATGAAAGACTTCCTATCAGTTAAACAACTCGATGAATCTCGATTGCATCTGCAGAAGCGTTTCTCGGTGTTTGCAAAATTACGATATGAGGAGTGTATTTTGGCAGGGGACCCAAGAGCACATTGTGTATGTGTGTGTACATCATGAAAATTTGAAACTCATGGTCGATGCTGTAGATTTTTCCTGACTGACGGAAAATCCTGCACATGAATTAACGTCGTACAAAGATCTGATTGGTTTCATCACCTACACCCACGCAAAACCTGATTGTCACCTGGGAGAATGCTCACAGTGTCCTGACTCGGAGGTTCTTGAAAAATTTCTCCAACAAACGTTCGATGAGAATGACATTGAGAGAGTAGAATATCACTCATGGGCTGAGACGGATCGCGCAGCGATGGCCGTGAATGAATTGTCCAGTGATGCATTCATTAAAAGCTTGTGTGAAAAAACTGTGAAAGTCAAAACACACAATTTCATCACCAAACAGCAATCTAAATACGTGGATTATCGGAAACAGAATTTGGAGGAAGGAGAATTCTTGATTCAAATGGATTTCGCATAAAACTACGCCTTCGCTGCTCAGACCACTATCGAATCATTCCACTGGAATAACAATCAGTGTACAATCTTCACCGTTTTATTTCATTATAAACTTGACAATGAACTCCAGCATGGCTCTATCACGATATTATCAGATAATCGTGAGCACAACACAGTTGCAGTTCGGGGGTTTCAGAAGCTGATAGTTCAATATTTGCAAAGCAAGTTCAAGGTTACGAAAGCCATTTACTTCACTGATGGAGCAGCCCAGCACTTCAAAAATCGTTACACCATTGCTAATTTGTTAGAACATGTGAACGATCATGGAATACATGTCGAGTGGCATTTCTTCACTACCGCACATGGTAAGGGACCGTGTGACGGTATTGGTGCGAATCTGACGAGATCTGCAGCGCGAGCCAGTCTTCAAGCAAAATCCCGTGCAGACTAGATCCTGACTGAACGTGCATTATTTAAATGGGCTGTTGACCATTTCCACACAACACATATTTGGTCCAGTCCTTCAGCTGACCATGTTAATGCTGCTGAATATCTTTCTGACAGATTCAAGAAAGCAAACCTCGTTTCAGGCATCCAGAAGTTTCACTCATTCATGGTGAACCATGAAAATCAAGTTTGTTTAAGGAGATATTCATTTCCCATGGAGTGTGATCTTTTTCCTAGGAAGATTCGTCAATCTAGGAAAAGAAAACTTTGAGCATTATATTTTAGAATTCAAAAAAATGACTCATTTTCTAAACTATCCTTCTACTTACATATGAAATTTTAGAAAATGACATCATTAGAGAATCGGCGGAACGGTTTGAGTCGATTTGGCTTTTTACCAAGTTTTCGGGAAATATCTCAGAATCCAAGAGAGATAGCGAAATTTGTGTGAAATCTTTTTTCTAGGTAAGAGCGAGAGCAATAAAAAAGGTTTTTATCAAAATTTCGATAGCTCCATCAGTTCCCGAGATATTCATGAAAAACTCACACTCAGACAAAATTAACTTGAACCATTCTTTTGATTCGCTGGTAATTTACTGTTCGAAATGCAAAATGAAGTTTATTGTATAAAAGTTAACATCTCTTGATGATTCATATTGAATTATATACATATGTATAGAAATGTTAATGTACTGGAAAGTTCAAAAAAGCGGTGTAAGCGGCGAATTTTTATGAAAAAGGAAAGAAGACCAATGTTACGGGTCTGAATTTCGAGATACCACTTTGAAGTTTTGTGTGTAATTTTTTTTAAACTAAATAAATAATGTCAGAAAATACCAGCAAAAATGAAGATGTCCAAGTGGATTAAAAAAAATATTTTTGGCTTCTTTCTACCTAAAATGGATCTCATAATAGTTTGTGACATTTGATGCAATTTTTTTCGTAAAACTTGAAGAAAATTGATTTTTTTTAATTTTTTTATTCATCATTCTATCACGTATAGAACTGGAGATACAAGCTATTTCAATTCAAACATCAAATTAGACAGCAAAAATAGAACAAGTGGTCCGAAAATTCAGAAAAAAATCAGAGATGCTGTTTTCATGTTCCAGAACATTGTAAAAAAATTTCAAAAAATCTGAAACATCCCAAAAAATCACTGTCTTGATTTCACAAAGAATGCCCCATATAGCGACAGCGTATAGACAGCCGGACAATAATGTTCGGAATCATGGTTTCACCCAAGCCACCCCTCTTGGCATTATTTTATTTGTCTATTCATCTCACGAGCGGCTTCATTAGCCGCCGTTCGATGGCAGGCTCATCTTTCGCTCTTTCTTCTTCAGCTGTCGTTAGGTGTCACTAATTACTCTTTCCTTCACTCTCACAATTTGTTAACGAGTTTTCCTAATTAGTCAATTATGAGAGCCCGTATTGGTGTGAGGTAATGATTAACACAGTGGGAAGAGGGAAAAAAACTACGCGCTCTCCGTCGCCATTAACACACGTTATATTTTTCAGGAAAAGTTCCACCACATGGTCATCACAAATATAATTGTTTTTGAGAATTAACAAATAATGAAATAATAGAGCCGAGCACAAAAAAAAATGGTAGTGACCCAAACTATAATGAGCCACACTACAATCTCTAGTCTTAAAGCAGAAATATTAACGAAAATTCAGAGAGGGCAGAAATGCACGAGGTACACGATATCACTTCCAGAACGTAAGTGAAGTTAAGGTGAGAAGAGTGGCAGTGAGTGGTGGTCAGTCGGTAACGGCGAGTCGGTCCGTCAGGTGCTGCTACCCAGCTCGTGGCATCCCGGTGAGCTGAACTAGGCCTAGCCGCCCGCCATTATCGACCGATTTCGCACATTCTCCCCCACGATCAGCAACTGTGGTTGGCTGATGAGATGGCCTATGATGGTGAGCTGTAGCATAAAGAAAATATCAAGGGGTCCCCGTGAATGATTTCTTTATTTGACACGTTGAGCTTTCCGATGATCGGCTGCTGGCCAAGCATGAGACTCCCCAGGTCCATAAGCATCGTACATCCTGTCCATACTCGGATATCCTCGTCTTGACTCCAAATCTCATAGGTGGTACCGGGGCGTAAATCCGTCACAGTTGTTGACATCCAGAGGTGAAGGGCCGTGAGCCTTCGTCAATGAGCAGATCTGGTTCTACTCTTCGGATGGTGAGATGGGTAACAGCTTGACGATGGGTCTCGTTAGCGTCATCTGAGTTTTCCTGATGGTGACTACCCTGGTGAGTCCTTCCTTTTCTGGATGAAGAGCAGTCACTCGGGCAAGAGGCCATTTGGTTGGCGGAAATCTTGATTTGATGAATCGTGTGATGCTACTTGGATATTGATTGGAGCCATTGTAGATATCCAGTGGACTGCCTCGTCCAGAATCCCTGGAGTCGTGGTTGAATGAGCAGCCGCCTGAAGAGTCGAGAGACGTTGAGGTACTCCAGTGAGGGTTCTGGAAGAATGGTGGGAGCCGGACCAATGAGGAAATATTCTGGTGTTAAGGCTGAGCATACTTCAGGATCATCAGCGAGTTATTCCAGTGGCCGAGAGTTGCGAGCAGCCTAGTTTTGGGCCAGTAAAGTCGTGAGTTCTTTAAATGTGAACAGATCCGCCCTGATTATCTGGGTGAGATGATATTTCACTGGCTTTACCACCACTTCCTATATCCCCCCGGAGTGCGTTGCTCCGGGAGGATTGAAGAACCACTAAGTGTCATCGTTCATGACGAGCTGGGCGAGCTGTTTTGATCTTGATGTTCCCAACAAGAAAAGTCGCTCGAGTTCTCTGTCCGCACCGAGGAAGTTGGTCCCACAGTCGCTGAACAAGGAATTGCAGATCCCACGACGACTCTTGAACTGACGATAGGTTGCAATAAATTCTTTCGCTGAGTAGTCTGACACGATCTCGAGGTGAGCCGTTGAGGTGGCCGTACAAACGAAGATTGCCAGCCGGCTCTTGAACCATTTGTGACTGCGCCCTTTCCATGACCTGACTGACACTGGGCCGGCGTAGTCGACGCTAGTGTTGAGAAAGGTACGAGTGGCGATGAGTCTAGCTGGTGGCAGCTGGCCGATGAGCTGTTGAGTACGTGTTCCATGTTGGCGGGCGCATGTTACGCACTTGAGAATAGAGGAGCGTACTGGTGCCCGGCCTCCGAGTATCCAGTAGCTCCTCCTGAGCTGACTGAGCATTACTTGAGTGCTTCCCTGGAGCGGTTGGAGATGAGGTTGTCTGATGAGCAGTTGAGTCAGTCGAGATTCCTTCGGAAGGATTGCATGATTTCTGCTTTCTGGGTTGATGTGAGCGAACTTGAACCGACCTCCAACTCTTAAAACCCCTTGGTAATTGATGAAGGGAGTAGCTTGGTGAGAGAGTGATATCTAGTGAATCTCTCACCTCGTGAGATAGCCCTAAGTTAGTCCTTGAAGTGAGCGGACGGAGTGACCTTGATCCAGGCGATGCGGGTCTCTTCAAAATCACCAAGAGTGAGCGGATAATAGATAGGTGAATTGAGAACTGTCCTGAGCCGCGCGATAAATCGACAGATTGCGGTGACCCAGAGCAGACGGTTAAACGATGACAATCTGTCGATGAGGTCCCAGAGAACGACTGGTTATGCATGCTCATGAAGCAACACTCCTGGTTTTTCCTTGAGGTCTACGTTGAGGTCCTTTTCCAAAACGTGGGGCGGCCATGATCTGCTCTGTCCACCAGAGTTTGTGAACTGTCAGTTTCGATGGTGGTAAACCTCGAAAAGCACAGTCTGCAGGATTCTCCTTGCCTGGTACCAATCTCCAGTGAGCGTGCTGAGTGAGGTCGTGGATAAGTGATACTCGATTCTCCATAAATTCCTCCCACCTTGATGAGTGTGAAATCCAAGTGAGCATAACCGACGAGTCCGCCCAAACATAGATGGAAACATTCGTCGAGTCGAGGTGATCCTGGATGTACTTGACTAATTTGGCCAGAAGAAGAGATGCAGTGAGTTGTATACGTGGAATTGTCAGTCTTTTGAGTGAGGCCACCTTGGTTTTTGAGCAGATTTGTGTGATTCGAGGTTCTGCATTTCTGTTGAAAACCTTGAGATAAACTATGGCTGACATTGCGAGCTGTGAGGGATTGGAGAATCCGTGTATTTCTACGCCGGAATTCGTGAGCAGTCCAAGCCACTGAGTTATCGTGATCTCCGACCACTGCGTGAGTTCGCACCTGAATTGCCCCCAGTACTTAGGAGTTGTCGAGGAAACTGGCTAGTCCCATCCCAGTTTCTCGATCCAAAGAGCTGGTAGCAAGAGCTTGGTGTGAATCACCACTGGTGGTAGAAAACCGAGTGGATTGAAGAGTTGGATCATCCCCGAGAGAATAGTTTTCATCATGATGGAGTCGGTTTCAGGCAGAGAGATGGAAAAGGGGAAGCGGACCGTGCCTGAATGCCGTAAAACCACCAAAAATTATGGTGAGTGATTCCTTCTCCTCAATGGATCGTTGTTCTTGAGAGGGGCTATCAGGTCTGAGAAGGAACACTACGCAGGTTTCCCCGTCCGATTTCGATAAAACTTAAATATGTTATAGGGGACCCAAAACTAAGGAACACGTATTTTTTTTTAGCTGCCCATATTGGGTTTTAGGGGGTGAAAGTGCTCTCTGAAGTTGACCACCTCTCGAGGTCATTTTTCGATTGCACGCACAAGGAAGGTTTTTGAACAACTCTTTCGCAGTGTATCATGAAGGTCACAAGGAATGATGAAAATGCGAATTAGAACCGTCTCCGGGGGGTGAAATATGGAGGGTAAACTACCCTTGTGAAAATTCATTTTTCTCATAGAAAAAAAAATTTTGATGGAAATCCCATGGGATAAATTCCATTTGAAGAAATAGAAAAAAATACAGAATACCTGTTTTGATTTTTTTTAAATCGAAATTTAAAACTTGAAAAAATAGACTTTTCGTGAATTGCGAGATTTCAAACATTTTCCTGTACAAAACGAAGCTTACGGCTAATGATGAGGAAAACCATTGGGACAGGATCCAGGAATAGTGTCGGGGAGGTTAACTACCCTTGGGAGGGGGGGCGGAAATTTTTTTAATAAGGGAGAAAAAATATCGATGAGAATTGTACGAAACACATTTAGTTCGAAAGCATGAGACAAATTAAAGCACATATTTAGGATTTTTTCCGCAAATTAGAATTTTAAGGTAAGAAACATCGATTCTTTGAAAAATTATGGGTTTTAAATTGTTTGTTATAATAGACTGATCTTACACGGAATGATAAGTGAAACAATTGAAATAGTCTTCGGGAGTGAAACTTGAGGGGTTAACAATCCTCATGGTATTGTATCGAATCGATCGGACGAATCTCACTCATTTTGAAAAGAAATCAGTAATGACCATCAATCTATAAAATTTCACCGAAGGCCAGAGTAGAGATTCCATTAAATGGCTTCCATTTCCAATTTGAAAAAATGAGTTATGATGAAATATTTTGAGGAATTCAAATTTTCATCTTTATATGAACGTGGATGGGTGGTACAAAGAAGAGCCGATGATTTTGTATAGTAAATAATGGATCGATGATAAAATGTATTTCGGTTGCTCTTATCGCTTCGATGTGATATCGTTTTCAATGAGACGTAAATGGAGACATATGACAATACCAGTCTGTTTGATAATGCAGAACCACAACTGAAGAATATTCGAGAGTTGTAAATATATTGATGCAAATGGCTCATTTGTTATCGCAGGATGAAATTACTCTGACCAATATAACTTATATCATATCAATGTTTTTCATTTCCATCCCTCTTGTGAATTACAATCAGTCTATGAACATACATCGAAGAGAAAAGTAGTTTTTCGGTGAGTGTCGTGATCTATACTTGTTCTACCATGAAAGTTAATCCGATCAACGTTATCCGACTTCTGATGGCAACATTTGAAGTTCTCAATCTTGCTGAAACACCCGTGAACAACGAGGAACGTGAATTAGCAGACACGTTCGAAAGGATATTGATTCAATCAATGGAAGAATATAATGGAGTTGAAATGATCGAAGAAACATCCCTGGATTTTCAAGAGCCTTGTAAAGGTATCGAAATGATAGCGGTCGAGGATAAAGAATTTCAACCACATACAGAAGAATAACTTGACAGTTCTTCGGAGGATGGAGAACCTGTAAATTTCGAATATAAAAAGAATGCCGTTGACTTCTGGAGAAGTGGAAAAAAGAAGAAGAATCTCTCTGAAACTGTTTGCTATCGATTCAGGAAGGTGAAATCGCGTAGACAGTTACGACGCTGGGCGAATCAAATCAATAAAGGAGGGACATACATGGAGAAGTTGGAACGCATTTCGGAGTACACATTAAAGAATATGAAGAATGCCATCGATGCAGGTTTGATCGTCCACGATACTGACATCCGAAGGTGGGCCCTGCAAGCCCGGAAGGAAATCGGCTTCGCAGACGTTCGTTTTACAGCTTCGTCCAGGTGGTTGCATTATTTCAAACGAACACGCCGCATAACATCCGGGAAGATTAACAAATTCATCACTAGAAAAACATTAGAGACTCGGAAAGAGTTACAAAAAGAAGCGGCCGAATTCCTCCTGAAAGTTCGGTCTTATTGGGATACGTATGGCCCAGAAAACATTTCTAATACTGATCAAAGTGGTTTCCAATTGGAAATTCATTCAGGGCGAACGTTAGCTGAAGAAGGTACTAAACAAGTTGCGTGCATCGTACAATCGCTAACTTCAACGACACATAGTTATACAGTACAACCTCTGATTTCTGCTGATGGAAAATTACTTTCACCTCTCTTCCTGGTTTTGAATGAACCTTCTGGAACTTTCGGTCCAATAGTGGAGCAAAATCTCTTCAAACCTGCGAATGTGTTCATCACCGCTTCAAAATCGAGAAAACTCACTTCACGTATGACAATATTTCAGACCTAACAAACATGATATGTTCTATAAAATAATTAGGATTATCATCTAGTACTTGATTTTTCAGAGCATTTCAAAACCTGGTTGAAGGAAGTCTTTTTCCCAAACGTGGGTCCTAGAAATCTACTGTTAATCGATTCCTGGACCGGACACTGTCCTTAAGTCGTGAAAGAAATTACTCCTCCGGTTAAAAAATTATCAACTATGTTGATACCAAAGGGGACTACTGGAAAAATTTAACCCCTTGACGTATATGGTTTTAGGATATGGAAGAATTATGTTCGTCATTTTTCGGATAGTGTCGTCCTAATGGACTATGATACTAATTTACAATTGAGAAACAGTATCATAAAGTTACAGTCTTTAGTCCATAATCAATTATCATCACCAAGGTATCAAAATTTATTTCGTTATCTTGGTTTCAGAGTGGTTACATTTCTAAAAAACCAGATGAATTCGAAAATCCTGTCGATTTTGCATTCGGGCAATCATCTCATCCGCACTGTGATATTGAAGGCTGTTCCAATATTGCAGTAGTCAGATGCTCATGGTGCAAAAAAGCACTTTGTTTGCTGCATTTTTTTGAAGAATATCATTTTTGTACGCATTACGTCCCCTAATACTATCTATACTATAGATTGATCCCAACAGACAGTATGCTGATTGAGAACATAATACTAGAAGAAATAAATGGTCTGAGCTTCTATAATAATATCAATGTGTATTCTGAATTCCATCATTTGGGGAGTACTACCATCATTGTTTCCTTCCTATATCGGATCTTCATTCAATCCTTACCATTTAGTCCGGACTATGGTACTGTGATACAAGTAGACACATAATTAAAAGGTTGTAATGCATATATAACTAGCAATGGACATTTTCATGGATTGAAATTTCGATATTTCTTATTATTGTTTACTCTTTCAAATGAATTCTGTTCACTAATATAATTAAACGTAACTCCCACAAAGGATATTTAGCCTCCAAGTGTTACTTCAAGAGACTCATCACTCATCTTTTTTATGTACCAAAAAATCAAAGACTTGTATATAATAAAAAAAAANTTACCTTAAAATTCTAATTTGCGGAAAAAATCCTAAATATGTGCTTTAAATTGTCTCATGCTTTCGAACGAAATGTGTTTCGTAAAATTCTCATCAATATTTTTCCCCCTTATTAAAAAAAATTCCCCCCCCCCCCGCCTCCCAAGGGTAGTGTTAACCTCCCCGACACCACTCCTGGATCTTGTCCCAATGGTTTTCCTCATCATTAGTCGTAGGCTTCGTTTTGTACAGGAAAAAGTTTGAAATTCCGCAATTCACGAAAAATCTATTTTTTTAAGTTTTACATTTCGATTTAAAAAAAATCAAAACAGGTATTCTGTATTTATTTATTCTATATTCTAAGGTTTACGTATTTTTTTTCTGCGGAAGTAGATATATAGGGGCGGTTCTGGCCCAACCATTTTGGGAAGGG